GATGACCTATGTTGCAGTTACGGCACGGGCCTCTCAGAATGCTGATCAATGGGTACGGACGCAGAAGGATAAACCGGTAAATGAGAGGAGTGATCCACAAAACTGGGGACCAAACAAGGAAGGCCATTTAACGACGCATAAGGACAGCAATAAGACTACAGAAGGAACGTCCCATATTTTTGCAAACTATGCTGACATAAGGGCACACATAAAGGGACTGAAAGGGGAATTGGATGAACTAATGAGGTTATTGGATAGCGGGAAGACAATGAGTTATAGGCAGACGTATTGTCATGCGTGTGGAGTGGGCTCAGATGATTATACAGCAAACGGAAATGTAGTAGCTAATGAGGTGTCTAAAGAGTAGAGATCGAAGAGGGCTCACACTACAGAGGTGATGGTTGAGCCAAGTGGCGAGGCCCAAGTACAAAGTAGAGGGGCGGAGGTGGAAGTAAGGGACGAGGAAGGGGAACCGAGTTTGATGAATTTGGAGTCGGAGAGACCGGATGTGGCAATTGAGAAACAACAAGAGGCAACAGGTTTGGCAAAGATGGTCACGAATACCTATTGTAGGAAATATTCTAAGTCTATAAACGAGGGGGAATCAACGAGGGGGAATCAGGGACTGATAAAGCGCTAGTTGTGTGGGTGGAGGGCGCCAAAAAGGAGGATATAAATAGGGATGTAGGTCGGGTGGAAGAAGAGGACTTACAATATGATCAGCTTTCCTCTAGGGAGATAGTGGAAATGAGTGAGCTTGACTTTAACCACTACCATCGAGCTGGGCTCTTCAAAAAATTTTGGACTTTAGCAAAATGGTGGGGGTGCCCTGCGATGGGTATGAACATAAGCTCTTGCAACTATTTGAGGAGTTGGAGACGAGTAAGGGACAAGTGATGGATACACCAGGAGGTAAGACAAGAAAGACTGACATTGTTTGCTTACAATAGACAAAGTTGGAGATCGTTTTGAGGGCTGTTGTAAGTAGCTTATGGGGGGGGACAGCATGTTGGGTATCAATTTGTGGGGTCATTGGGGGCTTCAGGAGGGGTGCTAGTTATGTGGGATACTAGAGTCTTTCAGTTGGAGGAGGTTAGTGAAGGACTATTTTTCCTATCCCTTTCATTTACAAATATTGGGGATAGATTTCGTTGGATGTTTATAGGAGTTTATGGGTCTAATGTCGATGAAAGTAGAGGCGGATTGTGGGATGAATTGGCAGGAATGATGGCTTGGTGGAACCTTCCAACGTGCATAGGGGGTGACTTTAATGTGGTCCGCTTTCCTACCGAAAGATCTAGCGGCGGGAGACTAACAGGGGCTATGGAGGACTTCTTAGATTTTATCAGGAGAATATGTTGGTGGATATGCCTTTGATGGGGGGAGATTTTATTTGATCATCTAATTGAGAGCTACCTGTTCATTCTAGAATAGATCGGTTCTTGATTAGTGTGGAGTGGGAGGCTAACTACCCGGACGTCGCTCAGAGGAGACTAGGGAGGGTGTATTCAGATCATTTCCCAATTTCATTATCTGGGGATATGGGATATAGCGGGAGAATGCCTTTTAGGTTTGAAAAGATGTGGCTTAAAGTGGACGGTTTTGGGGAGAGAGTACGGACTTGGTAGGCCTCTTACAAGTTCAGGGGGGCCCCCAGTTATGTGTTGGACCAGAAATTAAAGGCTTTAAAAGGAGACCTCAAAAGGTGGAATGAGGAGGAGGTGGGGGATGTTAACTCGCGTAAAAATCAATGCTCCTCAGAAATAGAGGAATTGGATAGGAAGGAGGAAAGTCGAGGATTGGGAGGGGACGAGAGGGAGCAACGTCAAGAATTAAGGGGTGACCTGGAGAGGTTGGTGGAGATGGAGGAGATTTCTTGGCGCCAGAAATCTAGGGTCAAGTGGTTGAGAGAGGGAGATAAGTGTACACAGTTTTTCCATAGGGTGGCCAATTTCAACAGGCGCAACAATCGTATCTCCATGCAGGAGGTGGATGGGGTAACTTTTGAGGACCCACAGGATATTGGTATCCAAATGGTGAGTTTCTACCAAAACCTTTATAAGGAGCAGTTTGATTGGAGGCCAGAGCTTGAGAGGCTAGAGTTTTCCACTATTTCTGAGGAGGATGTCAGTTGGTTAGAAAGACCATTTGGGGAGGACGAGATTAGGGAGGTGGTGTTCAGTATGAATGATGACAAGGCCCCAGGACCGGACGGATTCTCCTTCGTATTCTACAACACTTGTTGGGATGTGATACGATCGGACATTGTGGATGTTTTTGCTTACTTTTTCTAGTGTGGCAGATTCTTGAAAAGCTCTAATACCACATTTATTGTGCTGATCCCAAAAAAATTAGGAGCGACAGACATTAAGGACTTTTAACCTATCAGTCTGGTAAGTGAGGTGTATAAGATTATTGCAAAGGTTTTGGCTAATAGATCAAAGGAGGTGCTGGGAAAAGTGGTGTCTAAATATCAGAATGCTTTTGTCAAAGGGCGATAGATCTTGGACTTAGTTCTCATAGCAAATGAATGCATTGATTCAAGACTGTGTCAAGGGGCTCCAGGGATGCTATGTAAACTTGATATTCAAAAGGCCTATGATCACGTGAACTGGGGTTTCCTATTGTATATGCTCAGGCGACGTGGTTTCGGGGCCATGTGGTGCCAGTGGATTCAATTTTGTATTTCTACTGTCTCTTTTTCAGTTCTGGTAAACGGCACTCCTGAAGGCCATTTCCGAAGTCGTAGGGGATTGCGACAAGGGAATTCTTTGTCTCCATTACTGTTTGTTATTGTAATGGAGGCATTCAATAAAATGGTTGAGAAGGCTGTGGGGGTAAGTTTGTTAAAGGGCTTTAGGATTGGTCAACTGCAGATATCTCATTTGCTATTTGCAGATGATACTCTGATATTTTGTGACGCAGACGTTGAGCACTTTAGGAATTTGCGTCGTTTGCTTCTGTGCTTCGAAGTCGTATCTGGAATGAAGATAAATTTGGGGAAGTCTGAGGTCATCACTGTTGGAGAGGTCGATAATGTGGAAATGATGGCTGCTACATTGGGCTGTAGGGTTGCACAGTTGCCTATGACATATCTTGGGCTCCCATTAGGAGCAAGGTTCAAAGGTAAACACATCTGAGACAGTATAGTGGAAAGGGTGGAGAGAAGATTAGCGGGTTGGAAGCGTATGTACCTTTGAAAGGGAGGTCGCCTTACTCTTATCAAGTCTACTCTCTCGAATCTCCCCACTTATTTCTTGTCTTTATTTCCCATTCCCATTACAGTGGCTAAGAGACTAGAGAGGATCCAAAGGGAGTTTCTTTGGAGAGGAGAGGAAATTTCATTTAGTAAATTGGGGTGCAGTTTGTTCTCCCATAAAGGTTGGGGGACTCGGATTGAGGAGCCTTGTATTGTTTAATAAGGCCTTGTTGGGTAAGTGGTTATGGCGGTTTGGGGTTATAGAAGAGAAATATGGCATTTTGGAGGGTGGATGGTGTTCAGTTGAGATCCGTGGTACCTACGGGGTGAATTTATGGCGGTATATTCGACGAGGGTGGAGTGACTTTTGGAATAGAGTGACCTTCGGTGTGGGGAATGACAATACTATTAGCTTTTGGGATGATTGTTGGTGTACTGATCAACCGTTAAGGGAGTGATTTCCTTCTTTGTATTGTATTGTCGTGATGTCATCTGCTATGGTGAATGATGTATTAGATACACATAATGAGAACATTGTTTTTGGGAGGGGACTAGAAGATTGGGAAGTGGATGATTACGCAGTGCTATTGACCTCTTTGTATGAAGTGCATATCAAGGTTGGAGAGAGTGACCGCATCAGGTGGATGTCGACAAGGGATGACATTTTCTCAGTTAGCACTTATTTTAAATCCTTATTAGGATCTGCGGAGAATTTATTCCCTTGGAAGATGGTATAGAAGTGTAAATTGCCTCCAAGGGTGGCGTTTTTACTATGGACGGTAGTGAGAGGACAAGTTTTAACGGTGGACAATCGTCGATTGAGGGGGTTTTATATTATAAATTGGTGTCATATGTGCAGAAAGGATGGGGAAACGGTTGACCATTTGTTCCTGCATTGTGATGGCACCCGTTTGCTGTGGAATGATATTCTGGCTTCTCAACATATGGATTGGGTGATGCCACGACGTATGAAAGATTTGTTGAAGGCTTGGAGGAGAAAGTTTCGTGACGTCCAGGTTGCATTGTTTGGTGTGTGTGGAGAGAGAAACGGGCGCTGTTTTGATGATTAGATAAAGACTTTAGAGCAGTTTAGAGAATTATTTTATTTGACACTGTATAATTGGCTTAATGCTGTAACTTCTAGTCACATAGATGGACTGCCTAATTTCATGACGTTTATTTCTTGTTTAAGTGTATAATACACTTCCCGTGTATTACCTTTTAATTAATAAAACATTTGATTACTTATTAAAAAAAAAAAAAAAGTCTCATCCGCGTTCGTCATGATGGGCCCTCATTAATTTGATGGACCTTTATTCATGCTTTCACATGTGATACCTTGACAAATTTATGTATTGACTCGTGTCCAAACATAAGGCAAATATTTCACTCTAGGACATGACCAACACTCATAGTGTGGGGAAGTAGAAGCTCTACTAATTGAGATGAGGAGTCAAACTGTTTATGTAATTGAAGTAAAACGTGTTTTCATTGAACATGTAACATTGTAAAGAGCCACTCAATAACGTCATCTTTGGGCTTCTCCTGGAATTTGCAATTGAGGCATATAAGCACACAATACATGTTATCTTTCCTTCTTTTGGAACTGAATTTTGTGATATCTTGTTCTTTTAGCATTGCATCATGGTTATAACTTCCTACTTATTTTTCTTATGTTCCTGCTTACAGTCTCAATTTTTTGACGTTTCCTTATAGTTGTTTTTCTCAACTCATTCTGTGAATTCCATAGTTAAGTCAGAGTATCTCCATCACACACACTAAGAGAAATTTGTTTTTGTGATTTATGAATAATTATGAACTTATATAGCCTTTGGATGTTCTGTGGTTTTCTGTTTATATGGATGTTGGTGAAAAGCCATTTCGGCCTCGTATGATCAGTCCTATTGGTCCTACCCCAAGTCCTGTGCCGCCCATCTCAATGCAAGTAAGGTTTATCTGCTTCTAATTCTTTTGAGGTCATATATAAAGATTTAGCATTAGAATCTAAACAAACAATTCTGCTAAACACACTATTGTTTCAGTTTCGACCGGTGGTTCCACCACCACCACAGCCATATCTTCCAGTGCCATCTCAACAGTTTCAGCCCGTTGGACTTTCAAACGTGGGGATGCCCTCTCACCCTTCACATAGCCAGTTCCCTCAACCAGTGCCACCACCACCTGAAAGACCTGGGCTGGGAGGACATGTCCTGCCACAACCACAGCCAATTCCGCCACCAAATTTCCAGCCAAATAATTTTACGTCTGTCCCGCCACAGCATCAGCATCATGTGCCGATTTCAAGTAATTTTATGCCTAATTTTGGTGGCCCCAGGATCCCCCTTTCTTCTTCATACAATGTAAGATTCTTCAAGAGCCAATATAGTTCTTTGGCCCAGTTTACAATATATTGCCCCTTAACATTTTTAACTTCATAATAATAGTTATCCTCATCATCTTCTGGCTCACAACTCCCGTGTGTTTTGATCTGTAATGGTTTGCTCTAAGATTCAAATCAATTTTTGTTTGATACTGCCAGTTGTTATTGAGCCATATTATTCTAAGCGGTTTGTCTTATAAAAAATAAAAAATAAAATTATAAGCGGTTTGTCTTCTCTAGTGGGTCCGTAACTTTGTCAGCCCACCTTCCCTTACGAGTTTGCAACTTTGTCTAAAACAACAGGAAAAAGATAGTGATTGTATCTCAGTTATTTTTATTAGTTTCAATTATGCATTAGATGTAAGCAAAAAAGTTTCCATGATGTAACTTCTTTGATGCACAGACGATTTTATTATTTAGGTGTTAGTTTCCATGATGTGACTTCTTTGTTGTGCAGACCATTTTAAAAGCATATTATTTAGAGGGCAGATATTATCAGTTGCTTTGTTTTATTATACATGGACTTGGGTGCGGATGTCATATGCAAGTATGCCTCATACTGATTCATTGAATACCATATTTAATGAAGAAGACAAGTAAAAAATATGAACCTTATCTTTGTGAAGCTCTTATAAATTGTTGTCATCCTCCCCTCCCTTCCCTCCTCTCATTTCCTCTCTAGTCATGGAATACAAGTCCTTTCCTTGGCATTTGAAGCTTAGGAAATGACTAATTTTCATTTTTGGACTTCTTTTTTCACTTGCCACTTAATTAGTTTGTATTTGTATTATGACAGAGGGCAGATGCATCTACTGACTGGAGAGAATTCACAACTCCTGAGGGAAGAAAGTGGGTAAATTAGTGTTTTGTTTAATAGGTTAAATTGTTTATAGTGCAGTTTTCGAAGCCATGAACAATCACTCATCCTCTTTGTGTTTATGAATATTACAGGTTTTACTATAATAATGTTACCAAAAAATCAAAATGGGCAATTCCAGATGAACTACAGGTAGCTTAAGGCCAACAAGCCTAATAGTAGTCATATAATAGTACCAAAAAAGAAAAAAGAAAAAAAAAAAAGACGTACCATCCCTTTTTGGAGGTTTATCTGATCTTGATTTGTATACATGAATGACAGTTGGCTCGAAAAAGAGCAAAAGTGGATTCATATGAAGGAACACCAACAGTAAAGGATGTAAATTCTAATTCTTCAGCTGATGTAGCTGTTTCTGGGGTCAAAGCATCAAACCACAATGCAAATAATTCACCTTTCCCAGCTGATAATGTTGAATCAATTCCAATTCCAGTTTCACTTGCAGTTAATCCACAATGCCCAGTGACTTCTGGGTCATCAGGCATACCTCTGGAATTTGCTTCTGAGAAAGCAGATGCAACTGGACTGCAAACGACTTCTGAGGCTACAACAGTAACTGCTGTCTCTGACACAGCTGTGACTACTCAGGCCAACACGCCAATGTATTGAATGTTTTTGTTTTGTATATTGTGGACATTATATTATTGTAATTAGCAGTAATCTTAGTTTACTTTCAATGATCCTTGCAGTAGAACCTCTGATAATACGCCATCTCAGGATGCTCCAACTTCTACTGCAGATGCAACTTCTCCAGGGAACATAGAGGTGCATCCTGGCTTTTTTTCTTGTTATGTTTATATAAAACAGTAGGCAGATGCATTCGTGCCATGTATAATCTACTGCAAACTAATCTGCTAGAAGCATTTACAGGAAGCAATGGAAAGTGAAGGAATTTCTGGAAGTGGAAGCATTAATGTACCAGAAGAGAAAAATGAAGAGCAGGGACCTATAGTCTATGAAAGTAAACTGGTAACGTAGATTAGTTCTATTTCTTTTTGTATAATTAGTTCTTTGAATTTGATTGGGAAATCTAGTTGGAGATGGCATGAACAGTTAGGATAAGTACTCACAAAAATTCCTTCCTTTCTGGGTTTTTTCTTCAGGAGGCGAAGAATGCATTTAAAGTTCTTCTGGAAACAGCAAATGTTGGGCCTGACTGGACTTGGGATCAGGTTTGCTGCTTCCCATGTACATATTTATTGATTAAGTAAAACTTTTTTACACGATTAATGAATTCAATCAGGCCATGAGAGCAATAATAAATGATCGAAGATATGGTGCTCTAAGAACCCTTGGAGAGCGAAAACAAGCTTTCAATGAGGTAAAGCTCCTGCTCAGTACCCCTCTTCAATGGAATTAAATTTCTGCTTGTAATTTGTTGATCATCGATTGTTCAACTGGTATTCATTCTGGTGCTTGATTAAGAATATTTGTGATCTATGTTCAGTTTATGGGACAGAAGAAAAAACAGGAAGCTGAAGAGAGGCGTGCTAGGCAGAAAAAAGCACGGGAAGATTTCAAAAAAATGTTAGAAGTACGTTAAATTGCTGCTGCATACTATTATTATTGTTATTATTTTCTTTTTTGTGAGCTTCTGAATGAATTTCACACACAAGGAATTTCTAATTTTCTTAAATAATTTATTTGCTTCCCTTTTGTTTACAGGAGTCTAAAGATCTGACATCATCAATAAGATGGAGGTCCTTCTTCTTCCCCCTTTTCTTATTGTTGCTGTTGAATATCAGATGATAATGTTTTGTTAGAATATTTGATGTTTAGTGAGGTCTGCATTTTACATGTTTTAACATGTTGACAATCTTATTGAAGTGTTCATAATTCTCGCAGCAAAGCAATATCTATTTTCGAAAATGATGAACGTTTCAAAGCTGTTGAACGAGCTAAGGATCGTGAGGACCTCCTTAAAGACTTTATGGAGGAACTTGGGAAAAAGGTAGTGGATATTGAGGGGAAAAGCTGGCCTGGATATGCTTGGATATTGAATTTCAGTGTTCAATTTCATTTTGTTGAACTGGTCTGCTTCCTTCATTTGTTGCAAAAATCACACAAAATATTGGCTTTTGAACCAAAATTTCTTAAAATTTTTGAAAGACCTTGGAGATGATACTCAATTTCTTATTAAAAAAAATGTTTTTTTCTAAATGATACACGTTTTTTTCGTTCTTATTGATACGATTTTTAAAACGTGGATAATAAATGTACATGTAATATTTCATTTATCACATAAAATATTGGCTTTTGAACCAAAATTTCTTAAAATTTTCAAAAGATCTTGGAGATGCTACTCAATTTCTTATAAAAAATGTTTGTTTGTTTGTTTGTTTTTTTTTTTTTTTTTTCTCTCTCTCTAAATGATACACGTTTTTTTGGTTCTTATTGATATGATTTTTAAAACGTGGATAATAAATGTACATGTAATTTTTCATTTCTCTTATACTGGGGATGGCATTTTTATTCAAATTGAACTGGGTTGCTATTTTTCCCTCTGCTTTATCCTAGAAGAGGGAAATTTATTCCCTGCTGGGGTTTGGGGGTGGAGGTTGGGGAATTTAATTACTACTACTGCCTGTGCTGGTTAAATTCCAATTTAAACCTATCTTGCTTGAGACTCTAGACAATTTAATCAGATAATTGCACATGCCTTTCCCACCTGCCACCAACCTGTCCCCCCTGCAGCCCCACCACCACCACTGTAGTCACTCCTACCCGCACCACTACAACCCTGTACCACAACTGACTGCAACAACTTGGAATCTCACTACCACAAGTCCAGCATCAGAGGGCCCAGCATCTGAAGAAATGAAATGCCGAACCCCCAATCGAATCCTTGAGCGAATCTTGCCTCAAATGAAATTTCAAAATAAAGAAAAATAGAAAAATTAGTCCCCAATTTTCATTTTCAGATTTCCCACTCTGTCTGTCTTCAATAAATCAGCACAAACTGACCCAATATCAAGAAATCACCACAATTTTGTAATAAAGGGTCTGCCCAATGATCATATATATAATTCAACTGCGGTGGGGGTGAGATGCCTGCTGCTGGGGTTTTGGTGGTAGGGAGGTTGGAGGCTGCAGGTTGGGGGGACTTCCAGGGTTGGAGAGAGAGATTAATATTTTTTTTCTCTCTTTGCCTTTCAATTATGTGCATGCAATTTATCTAGATTTGATCCATGGGAGGTACCGACAGCTGATGACCAAAGACGAGTACTTCTTGTTTGTGGGCATTTGTTTAAAAAAGTGACCGCTTTTGGTTGCATCACAAATTTATTTACGCTTTGAAAAACCTGTTTCTTTCTTTTCTCGTATTGCAATTTTGGTTAGGAGCGGGCTAAGGCTTTGGAGGAGCACAAACACCATAGAGTTGAATATATAGAATTTTTGAAATCGTGCGACTTTATCAAGGTATCTTTTGTTGAGGGATTCTAACTTTCTTGTAAGTCCTCAAATTTTTCATATGAAGATCATAGTTTTGCTTATGGATTACCTTTCTGTTCAGGCAAGCAGCCAGTGGCGAAAAGTTCAAGATCGCTTAGAAGCTGATGAAAGATGCTCTCGCCTTGAAAAAATTGAACGCTTGGAAATTTTTCAAGTATTAGTTGTTCTTTTAATTCTGTTAACTGTATTTAACTGTCGTTTCACTATTACTGTGATCATATTTGTAATTACTGTAATTGGACTGGCATGTGTCAGGAATACATACGTGATTTAGAGAAAGAAGAGGAGGAACAAAGAAAATTACGAATGGTAACTTAGTGAGATTTTTCTGTGGTTCTAACGAAATTTCTTTTGAGTTTGGTTCTTCATACTCACCTCTCTCTTGTGCACTTATGCTAAAACTAGGAGGAAATGAGGAAGGCAGAGCGAAAAAATCGTGATGAATTCCGGAAGCTGATGCATGAGCATGTTGCTAATGGCATACTCTCCGCCAAAACTCATTGGCGTGACTATTGCATAAAGGTTATTTTTGTTTTTCTCACGGGAACTGTTTGGACATAGAAGTTGCTGTACATTGTATCTGAACTTACATCATGGTTTCAGGTTAAAGATTCACCTGCATATCTGGAGGTCTCTTCAAATACCTCTGGCTCTACAGCTAAAGATCTATTCGAAGATGTCATAGAGGACCTTGGAAAGCAGGTACACAAAGTTATCTATTTCATCTAACTGTTGGCTATATGGATATGTTTCTTGAAAGTTAAGTATTCATCTAACCTATGGTGTATAGAGGCTGGGAACATGTTATCTTGATTCCTGGTTGATGATCTCCTTACCATGTTGCTGAAATTTGATTTTCACCTATCAGTTACTCAGAAGCTCAAGCTCTACATAGCTCGTTATGAACTCACTTTTACTGGTGGCATTTTATATGTTGGAAAATTATGTGCTACAGGAACGTATTGCTTGCGTTTAGGGCTACAGATGGCCAATACTTTCACATAGTTTTTCTTATTTCAAATTAAAATATGTTTGAAATATGCCAAATGTGGATTCATGTTGGTGCAGCAATGTCAGTCATGCCCAACTTGGATGGCAAAGTATAGAACTGCCTACTACTTCAAAAATGATGCTCGACTTTAATTGCAACTCCAAGTAGTAAAAACCTCCCCCTCTCTACCAATTCAATCATCAGCTTGGTTAGATTGTCATTTATGAGGGGTTACTTGAGATGCATGAGAAGCAAAAGACAGAGAGGCATCAGTGGTAGCAATCTGAGCAGATTTCTTCTTTTCAACTTGCTTATCTTTTAACCACTCCAGATCATTATGTAGTTTCCAACAAATATCAATTGTGCGTGTAGTGTTGTGGTAGTGCCCTAGTAGGTGCAGGCTTATAGAAGGGGCTAAACTAGCTGGTCGTGATCTATTCTTCAGGATAGCCAAAGTTGAAGTCTCAGAGATAGCATACGCCCCTATAGGAACTTGCCTCAGTAAATAGGTCTCTTCGAGACTTGGTAGAGGAGAGGTAGCCAGAATTCGACTACTAACTTGATCCAAGTTGTGGTCAAGGGCTGCCCGAAACATTAATACCTGATCTTCAGCAATACACTTTCTTTGTTTCTCAATATCGGCTGCAGAAGTTATGTTATAATTAAGTTCATTGTAGTTTTCAGCAGGAGGCCGACCACATTGATGCAGTTGGAAACACTATATCAATTCCTATACTTGTAAAGAGTAAGAAACATCAAGATAGCTCCTCTTTACTGTATCCCAAACTTTTTTAGTCATGCTGCACTCAAATGTGATATCATGAATAAAGCTAAGCTGCACATAGACAGATGGGAGTTCATAGAATATAAGAGAGAGGGAAAGAGAAATACTTTAAATGGGAAAAATATTATGAGGATAATATGAATGTAAGCTAAGCTGAACACAGAAAGACGAGAGTTCATAGCTGAAGGATGCTTTCTAGTTAGAAAAAGCAAACTTTTACATGTTACAATTATGTTGGGAGTTTTCAAATTACTCATCTTCAGCAAAATACCAAGCGCTGCCAATTGATGGCAGCGTTTTCCTTTGGACAGGAGCTTTATTAGGTCTACATAAAATATGCCCCAACTTTATGACGTACTTTTTATTTTTTTCTATTATCTATTCTAGTATGGCCACATGTCCCTATTAACATCCTGATGTTTGCTGTCCTTCTCATTGACATTTTTCCTTCTAATGCCCCGATATTTAGTACCATAGCACACAGCAGATTAAATAACCGCTATACATAACTTTCCTTTTAACCTTATAAGTAACCTCATATCACATAGTATCCTTCTAGTACTTTTCCACTTTGTCTAACCAACTGTAATCCTATACATTGCATCCTCTTCAAGTCTTCCTTTAGTGTTAATAATTGAACCTTGATACTTAAAACACTTACCATTTAGGACGATATGATTCTCTACTTGACTCCACTATTGTTCTTATCCGCAAGACCAAAGAAGCCTCTGTCTTTCATCTTAGTTCAACTTAACTTAAAACCTTTAGTTTTCTTAGTATTTGCTCAAAGTTCTAACTTACAAGTTATAACCCTCCTTGTCTCACAAACTAAAAGTATGTCATTATGAATAGCATGCTCCGAGAAATCTCACTGAGTCTCATAAGCTCATCTATAACTAAAAGTTAAAGTATAATAATTTAATGATACAGCAGAAAAATATAAGATAAAAGATAATTACTCGATTTGTTTGCAAACAATTTGTAATAAAAATATTCATATTTGATCTGCTTTATGTGTTCTGTAATGTTATGGTCAATAGATTTAATCCTTCATTAAATTTCTGGATACATGATCTCTTTATATTATTCTGCATGGATCTGGTTAATAGAATCTACTCGATCAGTATCTGGATGGACGGATGAACTTTGTCCTCACCCTGTCTATCGTAGACTAAGGAAGTATATTCCACCAAGTGAAATTAATTCTCTATGTATGTGTGCACTGACACTGGTTCTCGTTCCCATTATTTGTGGATTGAAAGAATATCTTTTAGTACTAGTTTCATATGTATAGATGTAATGACAACTCACGCAATACATCTTTTGAATATCAATTACCCCACGTGCATCTTTAAGTTATTATGCTTTGATTGCTGAGGGTACCCTCCTTTGGAAGGAGGCCATGCAGTATATTTAGCCAAAGGATTAGTTATTCTTGCTTTTCTTTCATTCTTTTATCGTTTAGTTGTTGATACATGCCATGCATACTTAACTTTCATTTTCACATCAATTGCAGTACGATGATGATAAGTTGCAGATAAAAGATGAAATAAAGATGAAAAAGGTACTTGTTGTCATCCTTTTATCCTTATGTGGTGCCTTTTTTTTCAATCAATATGCCCAATATTTCCTTCTTTCAGATTTCCTTGTCATCCACCTCGACTCTTGAAGACTTCAAGGCTGCAATTCTTGAGGACATTAGCTCGCCAGGAATATCAGATATTAACTTACGGGTATGCAAGTTATGCATTAGGAGATATTCTGTCATTGAAGGACATTTTCAAACAGAATGCCCTTTTCAAAAATTAATAAAATAAAAAAATTGACCTATGCAAAATCCCAGAGAAATATGCTTCAATCTTCGTCTTAGTGCAAACAGTTTCTTCCACCAACTGGTGAAAGTAGGAGAGTCGGAGGTTTTCTTCTTATTCTAAATCCTTTGGGTGAATAATGAAGATTTAAATCACATATGACATATGTTGAGGAAATATCTACTGTTAAGTGCTTAGTTTAAGTTCTAGTTTGTTCAAACTCATTTGCATTATATGTTTTGTTGCATTGACAAATTGTCAATCACAGTTTATTTAACCTTCTTTGGACTCCATTTTAATGAGGTTTTAGGGGAGAATGTATTTTGGAATAGTGATTTTCTGGATTATTCTGCATAAATGTCCAGAATTTACCCTCCCGATGAACTCCATTTCTACCATATTTTTGTGTTTAGTTTCATCACTTGGGAGGATTGGACTTGTAAGGGAGGGGATACCTCCATTACATGTGGAGGTAGGTTGTCCCTTAAAGAAAGTTGAAATTTGTTTCCTTTTACTTGGAGGTTTAGCCTGGCCTGCCTCCAGTATTTTACGTCTGATTCTGTTTTAATTACCTCTCATCGTTGCGAAGATGAGAATTCTTAGTACAAACTAATTCGTAGCTTCTAGATTGTCTTTTATTGAATTCAGTTTTCTGTTTTAAATCTAAAGAGAGGTTATTAGAGTTTCGGGTCTTTCCAGAGCCAAGTCAACTATTTCCCACCTTTTTCTTCCTTTCTTTTTTCGTTGATTTTTAAAAATTAATACACACACACACACACACTTACATACATACATATATATATACATATATATATATGTGTTTATATATATATATATATATATGTATATATATATATCTTTATTTTGTAATGCGTATTGAATTCAGTTTTCTGTTTTAAATCTAAAGAGAGGTTATTAGAGTTTCGGGTCTTTCCAGAGCCAAGTCAACTATTTCCCAGCTTTTTCTTCCTTTCTTTTTTCGTTGATTTTTAAAAATTAATACACACACACACCCACTGCCTGTCTCCTGCCAAAAATGATATGTGACAATGCTCAGGCTGGGCAGTAATTATATTCTGATCATATAATGAGTTTCTCCACCGGTAAAAAAACAGTTGAAACAGTTCATTTTTAAAATTGAATCAGCTGGAGTAACTATTCAACATTTATGCTGTTGATGAAAGATACTTTGTTTATCAATAGTTGTTCTGAATCCTCGTTTTTTTTTTCTTCTGTGTGTTTCTTCTCATGCTACATTGCTCTCGATATCGAGCTATGTAGAAGGTAAGTCAATGGGAAGAACCTCTAAACCGGAGTATAAATCTTAAAATCCCATCAATCTTTACTGTCAGGCGACGCCAGTAGGGGTACTTTCTTATGGTTCTTCCTGCTAGGCATGTGCTACTGTGCTCAGTTAGCTCCCCTTGGTGATTTTCTACCTCTTGGCATACGGGCTACTCTTCTGTATCATTTTAGGCAATTTGATGTAGTAATTGAATGATTTAATTTGACACTGATCTTAAATTAAATTATAAATCAACTAATCCTTGAATTACTCTTTATAATCTGAACCTGGTTAACATCTTGCTTGCCTTGCATATATTCCTACTTTTACATTTATTTTGATTTCCATTGTTTGCGTCTTTGCAAAGCTAATGTGTGCATTGCCTCGTGACAGCTTATATTTGATGAATTACTAGAAAGAGCCAAGGAGAAAGAGGAAAAAGAAGCTAAAAAGCGTAAACGTCTAGCAGACGATTTATATGATTTTTTATATTCTTCAAAGGTATATGAAGCTGTTTTTGATTTTCAATACAAATTCTTCCATTTCACAAATTTATTAATTCTTTATCTTTAATATAATTATTTTTTTGTGATTAAGCAGGAAATTACTGCATCTTCAAGATGGGAGGATTGCAAATCACTCGTTGAAGATAGGTAAAGGCATTTCAACAATTATTTTAAGGATCTCTACAATATTTATCTGTAACACAAATATAGGTCATTATTACAAAGCTCTGTAATGGTTTCAGACTTTCTTTCCTTTTTCCTTCCCTGTAATGTGATTATTAATGATGAGACATCGTTGTACATTTGCTTAAAATTTCACAGATGGAGGTTGCATTGTAAGTTACAATTAATGTGTATCTGCTTCATATGCTTTTATGGTTTTGAGCTCCCCCGTTTCCTCCCTAAAGCTTCAACCTACGAGTCTGATCTGTATGCTGTCGATAGGTTCACAGGTGATGAAGGCTTTTTCCAGGAAATCTTTGATGAAGTGATAGCAGAACTGAAAGAGAAGTCAAAAGAGAAGGAGCGGAAGCGGAAGGAGGAAAAGGTATTAAATGACCCCCTATGGAATCACTAGTAGTACATTTCAAACTTTCCGTTGCATCAATTTGGTCTTGGAAGAATTTCTGATCTATTTATCTTCAATTATACAACTAGGTTGTATTTGGCACAGTGGACTAGAGTAGATGGTACTACATATTAGGGTGGATAGTATTCTTTAGTTTTTCATTAAAAAGAAAGTTATTTGCACCTTCTTCAGCTAACCAAATTAAATAATACGGGGGAAGAGATGCATTTGGGCCCACTATTTTAAATGAAAACTTGGGAATACTGTCCAACTTTATCCACCCCTTGATAGTATCCACCTAGTACCATCTCCTCTAAATAATGTTATGCTTTATTCCCTTGTACAGTCTAATCCGGTGCACCAAGTGCAATCTTAAGTTTCAAAATGGAAAAATAATGTCAATATTAGGATTTTTAATATTGAACTGATCATTCAATTCAAGGACCAAAATGTATTGTTTGCAGGCCAAAAAGGAAAAAGAGAGAAAGGACAAGGAGAAGCGGAAGGAAAGGGAGAAGAAAAGTAGAGAGAAAGGAGTTGATAACAGAAAGGTGAGAGATAGAGTTAAGAAAGATGGAACAGAAAGTGATGAAAGTGAGTCTTACAGTTTGGAAGAGCGTAGAAGGTCAGGAAGAGACAAAGATAAGAAACATGGGAAGCGGCATAGGGATTCTTTTGATGACAATGAGAAAGACTGGTTTAATCCCCACAGACGTAGTGTCGAGCACAAAAAATCAAAGCAGGTATCATGCTATTGACTTTGAATATACACAAGTTGTGGAACTGATCTCTTTTAGGCCTGTTTGATCCACATTATTTGGAAAAAATACATTATTAAACAGTGATTTGACATCGTTCAACCACACATTTTTCAATAAAATACTATTACATGCAAATGAAGAACTTTTTCTTATTTTTTAACGACAAATTTCCCATCATTACACTATTCAAAAATGCATTTTTATGAAAATAATGTGGCTCAAACAAGGGCTTAATCTTTTAAATCCAGTCTTTTGGTTTGGTTAATTTTTTCTTGAATCATAGTTTTACATTGTGTGTCACCCCCTTTGTTTGTGATTTTTCTTTAAGTATGAATGAATACTCCACCTTTGTGTGATGGTAGGAAAAAGGAATTTTTCTTTTTATATGTATACGTATTTTCGTTCTAAAGAGACTATTTTCTTTTACGCAGACTTCAGACACAGATTCCGAGAGCCAACACAAAAGACACAGGAGGGATCGGAAACATTCTTATAGGAGTAGTGATGCCGAGGAGCACAAGGAGATGGAGCTTGGTGAGGATGGAGAAGTTCGGTAAATGTTTTTGTGCTAGTACCTCCATATGCTTCCTTGCACCATGTGAGTCTCTTCGCCTGTTGATATACTTGGATTATGGTGGCAACAAATTTTGCTTTGTTCCAAATTCTGTCTTGTAACTGGTAGAGCACAAATTTAATTATCTGGATAATGGTAATAACTTGTTAATTAAACCCGTTTAGTCATGTTTGGTATCTGAGGTTTTGTAACATTAAACTCATTTAACGTTTTATATTCGATAACTGTATCAATTTTATGAAAGTTTACATTACATAGTTCATATTTGTTGCGTGTTTATGCATATTGTTTGTCTATAACTTTGCTGAATAATGTTACTAGTAGATAATGAAGTTACATAATGATTTACATACAGATGGTTTGTTAAAAAAAGAGTGGGGAGTTATTTTTTTTTATATAGTTTGCGATAATTTGATTCAATCATATCGTACTACGTCATGTAAATCACTGTGTACAAATAGCACCATCGATCTTTGCTATATGTACAGGGAAAATCCCCCTTAACATATGTCAACACTGCATCTGTAAATTTTCAATGTGCAAGTAATTTAATTCATTATAATTTATAAACAGGCCCCTTCCTAATCTTCAATTAGATGCAAGTCAGTAATTTAGTTGATTCAGATACATTTTTGTTAAGAAGTTAAAATATTGTCAATTGTACAGTTTAGACTTGTCCGAAGCGTACCAAAACACATCCTTAGTGTCACATTTTCCTTCTTCCTACTATATGTTGATTAGATTATATGAAATTCCTTTCTCCTCTACATTGTTTGAATGGTCCCTAACATTTGATTCTTAGAACGATCATCTTCGAGAGCATCTTCAATGTTAATGTAAAATTGAAATCACATATTAGCATTTTCATTTACATCCAGGTAAATCTAAATTCAAATCCTACTCTAATGGAATTATGGAAAGATGTAAATTATAATATATAAATTTCATTTTTTCACGTTAAATTTTGTTTTTGTACAATTTTTTTGCTCGTATTGGGAGATTATGTAAGACCCCTTTTAAATAGGTTTTAAAAACCATGTTATCAACCTACTTTTTGCAAATTGGATTTAGTCACTTGTCTTTATTTGGTCACTGACCTTATAATTTTATTTTAATTTTTTCGCAACGTTTAGACCTCCTTAAAGACTTTATGGAGGAACTTGGGAAAAAGGTAGTGGATATTGAGGGGAAAAGCTGGCCTGGATATGCTTGGATATTGAATTTCAGTGTTCAATTTCATTTTGTTGAACTGGTCTGCTTCCTTCATTTGTTGCAAAAATCACACAAAATATTGGCTTTTGAACCAAAATTTCTTAAAATTTTTGAAAGACCTTGGAGATGATACTCAATTTCTTATTAAAAAAAATGTTTTTTTCTAAATGATACACGTTTTTTTCGTTCTTATTGATACGATTTTTAAAACGTGGATAATAAATGTACATGTAATATTTCATTTATCACATAAAATATTGGCTTTTGAACCAAAATTTCTTAAAATTTTCAAAAGATCTTGGAGATGCTACTCAATTTCTTATAAAAAATGTTTGTTTGTTTGTTTGTTTTTTTTTTTTTTTTTTCTCTCTCTCTAAATGATACACGTTTTTTTGGTTCTTATTGATATGATTTTTAAAACGTGGATAATAAATGTACATGTAATTTTTCATTTCTCTTATACTGGGGATGGCATTTTTATTCAAATTGAACTGGGTTGCTATTTTTCCCTCTGCTTTATCCTAGAAGAGGGAAATTTATTCCCTGCTGGGGTTTGGGGGTGGAGGTTGGGGAATTTAATTACTACTACTGCCTGTGCTGGTTAAATTCCAATTTAAACCTATCTTGCTTGAGACTCTAGACAATTTAATCAGATAATTGCACATGCCTTTCCCACCTGCCACCAACCTGTCCCCCCTGCAGCCCCACCACCACCACTGTAGTCACTCCTACCCGCACCACTACAACCCTGTACCACAACTGACTGCAACAACTTGGAATCTCACTACCACAAGTCCAGCATCAGAGGGCCCAGCATCTGAAGAAATGAAATGCCGAACCCCCAATCGAATCCTTGAGCGAATCTTGCCTCAAATGAAATTTCAAAATAAAGAAAAATAGAAAAATTAGTCCCCCATTTTCAGATTTCCCACTCTGTCTGTCTTCAATAAATCAGCACAAACTGACCCAATATCAAGAAATCACCACAATTTTGTAATAAAGGGTCTGCCCAATGATCATATATATAATTCAACTGCGGTGGGGGTGAGATGCCTGCTGCTGGGGTTTTGGTGGTAGGGAGGTTGGAGGCTGCAGGTTGGGGGGACTTCCAGGGTTGGAGAGAGAGATTAATATTTTTTTTCTCTCTTTGCCTTTCAATTATGTGCATGCAATTTATCTAGATTTGATCCATGGGAGGTACTGACAGCTGATGACCAAAGACGAGTACTTCTTGTTTGTGGGCATTTGTTTAAAAAAGTGACCGCTTTTGGTTGCATCACAAATTTATTTACGCTTTGAAAAACCTGTTTCTTTCTTTTCTCGTATTGCAATTTTGGTTAGGAGCGGGCTAAGGCTTTGGAGGAGCACAAACACCATAGAGTTGAATATATAGAATTTTTGAAATCGTGCGACTTTATCAAGGTATCTTTTGTTGAGGGATTCTAACTTTCTTGTAAGTCCTCAAATTTTTCATATGAAGATCATAGTTTTGCTTATGGATTACCTTTCTGTTCAGGCAAGCAGCCAGTGGCGAAAAGTTCAAGATCGCTTAGAAGCTGATGAAAGATGCTCTCGCCTTGAAAAAATTGAACGCTTGGAAATTTTTCAAGTATTAGTTGTTCTTTTAATTCTGTTAACTGTATTTAACTGTCGTTTCACTATTACTGTGATCATATTTGTAATTACTGTAATTGGACTGGCATGTGTCAGGAATACATACGTGATTTAGAGAAAGAAGAGGAGGAACAAAGAAAATTACGAATGGTAACTTAGTGAGATTTTTCTGTGGTTCTAACGAAATTTCTTTTGAGTTTGGTTCTTCATACTCACCTCTCTCTTGTGCACTTATGCTAAAACTAGGAGGAAATGAGGAAGGCAGAGCGAAAAAATCGTGATGAATTCCGGAAGCTGATGCATGAGCATGTTGCTAATGGCATACTCTCCGCCAAAACTCATTGGCGTGACTATTGCATAAAGGTTATTTTTGTTTTTCTCACGGGAACTGTTTGGACATAGAAGTTGCTGTACATTGTATCTGAACTTACATCATGGTTTCAGGTTAAAGATTCACCTGCATATCTGGAGGTCTCTTCAAATACCTCTGGCTCTACAGCTAAAGATCTATTCGAAGATGTCATAGAGGACCTTGGAAAGCAGGTACACAAAGTTATCTATTTCATCTAACTGTTGGCTATATGGATATGTTTCTTGAAAGTTAAGTATTCATCTAACCTATGGTGTATAGAGGCTGGGAACATGTTATCTTGATTCCTGGTTGATGATCTCCTTACCATGTTGCTGAAATTTGATTTTCACCTATCAGTTACTCAGAAGCTCAAGCTCTACATAGCTCGTTATGAACTCACTTTTACTGGTGGCATTTTATATGTTGGAAAATTATGTGCTACAGGAACGTATTGCTTGCGTTTAGGGCTACAGATGGCCAATACTTTCACATAGTTTTTCTTATTTCAAATTAAAATATGTTTGAAATATGCCAAATGTGGATTCATGTTGGTGCAGCAATGTCAGTCATGCCCAACTTGGATGGCAAAGTATAGAACTGCCTACTACTTCAAAAATGATGCTCGACTTTAATTGCAACTCCAAGTAGTAAAAACCTCCCCCTCTCTACCAATTCAATCATCAGCTTGGTTAGATTGTCATTTATGAGGGGTTACTTGAGATGCATGAGAAGCAAAAGACAGAGAGGCATCAGTGGTAGCAATCTGAGCAGATTTCTTCTTTTCAACTTGCTTATCTTTTAACCACTCCAGATCATTATGTAGTTTCCAACAAATATCAATTGTGCGTGTAGTGTTGTGGTAGTGCCCTAGTAGGTGCAGGCTTATAGAAGGGGCTAAACTAGCTGGTCGTGATCTATTCTTCAGGATAGCCAAAGTTGAAGTCTCAGAGATAGCATACGCCCCTATAGGAACTTGCCTCAGTAAATAGGTCTCTTCGAGACTTGGTAGAGGAGAGGTAGCCAGAATTCGACTACTAACTTGATCCAAGTTGTGGTCAAGGGCTGCCCGAAACATTAATACCTGATCTTCAGCAATACACTTTCTTTGTTTCTCAATATCGGCTGCAGAAGTTATGTTATAATTAAGTTCATTGTAGTTTTCAGCAGGAGGCCGACCACATTGATGCAGTTGGAAACACTATATCAATTCCTATACTTGTAAAGAGTAAGAAACATCAAGATAGCTCCTCTTTACTGTATCCCAAACTTTTTTAGTCATGCTGCACTCAAATGTGATATCATGAATAAAGCTAAGCTGCACATAGACAGATGGGAGTTCATAGAATATAAGAGAGAGGGAAAGAGAAATACTTTAAATGGGAAAAATATTATGAGGATAATATGAATGTAAGCTAAGCTGAACACAGAAAGACGAGAGTTCATAGCTGAAGGATGCTTTCTACTTAGAAAAAGAAAACTTTTACATGTTACAATTAGGTTGGGAGTTTTCAAATTACTCATCTTCAGCAAAATACCAAGCGCTGCCAATTGATGGCAGCGTTTTCCTTTGGACAGGAGCTTTATTAGGTCTACATAAAATATGCCCCAACTTTATGACGTACTTTTTATTTTTTTCTATTATCTATTCTAGTATGGCCACATGTCCCTATTAACATCCTGATGTTTGCTGTCCTTCTCATTGACATTTTTCCTTCTAATGCCCCGATATTTAGTACCATAGCACACAGCAGATTAAATAACCGCTATACATAACTTTCCTTTTAACCTTATAAGTAACCTCATATCACATAGTATCCTTCTAGTACTTTTCCACTTTGTCTAACCAACTGTAATCCTATACATTGCATCCTCTTCAAGTCTTCCTTTAGTGTTAATAATTGAACCTTGATACTTAAAACACTTACCATTTAGGACGATATGATTCTCTACTTGACTCCACTATTGTTCTTATCCGCAAGACCAAAGAAGCCTCTGTCTTTCATCTTAGTTCAACTTAACTTAAAACCTTTAGTTTTCTTAGTATTTGCTCAAAGTTCTAACTTACAAGTTATAACCCTCCTTGTCTCACAAACTAAAAGTATGTCATTATGAATAGCATGCTCCGAGAAATCTCACTGAGTCTCATAAGCTCATCTATAACTAAAAGTTAAAGTATAATAATTTAATGATACAGCAGAAAAATATAAGATAAAAGATAATTACTCGATTTGTTTGCAAACAATTTGTAATAAAAATATTCATATTTGATCTGCTTTATGTGTTCTGTAATGTTATGGTCAATAGATTTAATCCTTCATTAAATTTCTGGATACATGATCTCTTTATATTATTCTGCATGGATCTGGTTAATAGAATCTACTCGATCAGTATCTGGATGGACGGATGAACTTTGTCCTCACCCTGTCTATCGTAGACTAAGGAAGTATATTCCACCAAGTGAAATTAATTCTCTATGTATGTGTGCACTGACACTGGTTCTCGTTCCCATTATTTGTGGATTGAAAGAATATCTTTTAGTACTAGTTTCATATGTATAGATGTAATGACAACTCACGCAATACATCTTTTGAATATCAATTACCCCACGTGCATCTTTAAGTTATTATGCTTTGATTGCTGAGGGTACCCTCCTTTGGAAGGAGGCCATGCAGTATATTTAGCCAAAGGATTAGTTATTCTTGCTTTTCTTTCATTCTTTTATCGTTTAGTTGTTGATACATGCCATGCATACTTAACTTTCATTTTCACATCAATTGCAGTACGATGATGATAAGTTGCAGATAAAAGATGAAATAAAGATGAAAAAGGTACTTGTTGTCATCCTTTTATCCTTATGTGGTGCCTTTTTTTTCAATCAATATGCCCAATATTTCCTTCTTTCAGATTTCCTTGTCATCCACCTCGACTCTTGAAGACTTCAAGGCTGCAATTCTTGAGGACATTAGCTCGCCAGGAATATCAGATATTAACTTACGGGTATGCAAGTTATGCATTAGGAGATATTCTGTCATTGAAGGACATTTTCAAACAGAATGCCCTTTTCAAAAATTAATAAAATAAAAAAATTGACCTATGCAAAATCCCAGAGAAATATGCTTCAATCTTCGTCTTAGTGCAAACAGTTTCTTCCACCAACTGGTGAAAGTAGGAGAGTCGGAGGTTTTCTTCTTATTCTAAATCCTTTGGGTGAATAATGAAGATTTAAATCACATATGACATATGTTGAGGAAATATCTACTGTTAAGTGCTTAGTTTAAGTTCTAGTTTGTTCAAACTCATTTGCATTATATGTTTTGTTGCATTGACAAATTGTCAATCACAGTTTATTTAACCTTCTTTGGACTCCATTTTAATGAGGTTTTAGGGGAGAATGTATTTTGGAATAGTGATTTTCTGGATTATTCTGCATAAATGTCCAGAATTTACCCTCCCGATGAACTCCATTTCTACCATAATTTTGTGTTTAGTTTCATCACTTGGGAGGATTGGACTTGTAAGGGAGGGGATACCTCCATTACATGTGGAGGTAGGTTGTCCCTTAAAGAAAGTTGAAATTTGTTTCCTTTTACTTGGAGGTTTAGCCTGGCCTGCCTCCAGTATTTTACGTCTGATTCTGTTTTAATTACCTCTCATCGTTGCGAAGATGAGAATTCTTAGTACAAACTAATTCGTAGCTTCTAGATTGTCTTTTATTGAATTCAGTTTTCTGTTTTAAATCTAAAGAGAGGTTATTAGAGTTTCGGGTCTTTCCAGAGCCAAGTCAACTATTTCCCAGCTTTTTCTTCCTTTCTTTTTTCGTTGATTTTTAAAAATTAATACACACACACACCCACTGCCTGTCTCCTGCCAAAAATGATATGTGACAATGCTCAGGCTGGGCAGTAATTATATTCTGATCATATAATGAGTTTCTCCACCGGTAAAAAAACAGTTGAAACAGTTCATTTTTAAAATTGAATCAGCTGGAGTAACTATTCAACATTTATGCTGTTGATGAAAGATACTTTGTTTATCAATAGTTGTTCTGAATCCTCGTTTTTTTTTTCTTCTGTGTGTTTCTTCTCATGCTACATTGCTCTCGATATCGAGCTATGTAGAAGGTAAGTCAATGGGAAGAACCTCTAAACCGGAGTATAAATCTTAAAATCCCATCAATCTTTACTGTCAGGCGACGCCAGTAGGGGTACTTTCTTATGGTTCTTCCTGCTAGGCATGTGCTACTGTGCTCAGTTAGCTGCCCTTGGTGATTTTCTACCTCTTGGCATACGGGCTACTCTTCTGTATCATTTTAGGCAATTTGATGTAGTAATTGAATGATTTAATTTGACACTGATCTTAAATTAAATTATAAATCAACTAATCCTTGAATTACTCTTTATAATCTGAACCTGGTTAACATCTTGCTTGCCTTGCATATATTCCTACTTTTACATTTATTTTGATTTCCATTGTTTGCGTCTTTGCAAAGCTAATGTGTGCATTGCCTCGTGACAGCTTATATTTGATGAATTACTAGAAAGAGCCAAGGAGAAAGAGGAAAAAGAAGCTAAAAAGCGTAAACGTCTAGCAGACGATTTATATGATTTTTTATATTCTTCAAAGGTATATGAAGCTGTTTTTGATTTTCAATACAAATTCTTCCATTTCACAAATTTATTAATTCTTTATCTTTAATATAATTATTTTTTTGTGATTAAGCAGGAAATTACTGCATCTTCAAGATGGGAGGATTGCAAATCACTCGTTGAAGATAGGTAAAGGCATTTCAACAATTATTTTAAGGATCTCTACAATATTTATCTGTAACACAAATATAGGTCATTATTACAAAGCTCTGTAATGGTTTCAGACTTTCTTTCCTTTTTCCTTCCCTGTAATGTGATTATTAATGATGAGACATCGTTGTACATTTGCTTAAAATTTCACAGATGGAGGTTGCATTGTAAGTTACAATTAATGTGTATCTGCTTCATATGCTTTTATGGTTTTGAGCTCCCCCGTTTCCTCCCTAAAGCTTCAACCTACGAGTCTGATCTGTATGCTGTCGATAGGTTCACAGGTGATGAAGGCTTTTTCCAGGAAATCTTTGATGAAGTGATAGCAGAACTGAAAGAGAAGTCAAAAGAGAAGGAGCGGAAGCGGAAGGAGGAAAAGGTATTAAATGACCCCCTATGGAATCACTAGTAGTACATTTCAAACTTTCCGTTGCATCAATTTGGTCTTGGAAGAATTTCTGATCTATTTATCTTCAATTATACAACTAGGTTGTATTTGGCACAGTGGACTAGAGTAGATGGTACTACATATTAGGGTGGATAGTATTCTTTAGTTTTTCATTAAAAAGAAAGTTATTTGCACCTTCTTCAGCTAACCAAATTAAATAATACGGGGGAAGAGATGCATTTGGGCCCACTATTTTAAATGAAAACTTGGGAATACTGTCCAACTTTATCCACCCCTTGATAGTATCCACCTAGTACCATCTCCTCTAAATAATGTTATGCTTTATTCCCTTGTACAGTCTAATCCGGTGCACCAAGTGCAATCTTAAGTTTCAAAATGGAAAAATAATGTCAATATTAGGATTTTTAATATTGAACTGATCATTCAATTCAAGGACCAAAATGTATTGTTTGCAGGCCAAAAAGGAAAAAGAGAGAAAGGACAAGGAGAAGCGGAAGGAAAGGGAGAAGAAAAGTAGAGAGAAAGGAGTTGATAACAGAAAGGTGAGAGATAGAGTTAAGAAAGATGGAACAGAAAGTGATGAAAGTGAGTCTTACAGTTTGGAAGAGCGTAGAAGGTCAGGAAGAGACAAAGATAAGAAACATGGGAAGCGGCATAGGGATTCTTTTGATGACAATGAGAAAGACTGGTTTAATCCCCACAGACGTAGTGTCGAGCACAAAAAATCAAAGCAGGTATCATGCTATTGACTTTGAATATACACAAGTTGTGGAACTGATCTCTTTTAGGCCTGTTTGATCCACATTATTTGGAAAAAATACATTATTAAACAGTGATTTGACATCGTTCAACCACACATTTTTCAATAAAATACTATTACATGCAAATGAAGAACTTTTTCTTATTTTTTAACGACAAATTTCCCATCATTACACTATTCAAAAATGCATTTTTATGAAAATAATGTGGCTCAAACAAGGGCTTAATCTTTTAAATCCAGTCTTTTGGTTTGGTTAATTTTTTCTTGAATCATAGTTTTACATTGTGTGTCACCCCCTTTGTTTGTGATTTTTCTTTAAGTATGAATGAATACTCCACCTTTGTGTGATGGTAGGAAAAAGGAATTTTTCTTTTTATATGTATACGTATTTTCGTTCTAAAGAGACTATTTTCTTTTACGCAGACTTCAGACACAGATTCCGAGAGCCAACACAAAAGACACAGGAGGGATCGGAAACATTCTTATAGGAGTAGTGATGCCGAGGAGCACAAGGAGATGGAGCTTGGTGAGGATGGAGAAGTTCGGTAAATGTTTTTGTGCTAGTACCTCCATATGCTTCCTTGCACCATGTGAGTCTCTTCGCCTGTTGATATACTTGGATTATGGTGGCAACAAATTTTGCTTTGTTCCAAATTCTGTCTTGTAACTGGTAGAGCACAAATTTAATTATCTGGATAATGGTAATAACTTGTTAATTAAACCTGTTTAGTCATGTTTGGTATCTGAGGTTTTGTAACATTAAACTCATTTAACGTTTTATATTCGATAACTGTATCAATTTTATGAAAGTTTACATTACATAGTTCATATTTGTTGCGTGTTTATGCATATTGTTTGTCTATAACTTTGCTGAATAATGTTACTAGTAGATAATGAAGTTACATAATGATTTACATACAGATGGTTTGTTAAAAAAAGAGTGGGGAGTTATTTTTTTTTATATAGTTTGCGATAATTTGATTCAATCATATCGTACTACATCATGTAAATCACTGTGTACAAATAGCACCATCGATCTTTGCTATATGTACAGGGAAAATCCCCCTTAACATATGTCAACACTGCATCTGTAAATTTTCAATGTGCAAGTAATTTAATTCATTATAATTTATAAACAGGCCCCTTCCTAATCTTCAATTAGATGCAAGTCAGTAATTTAGTTGATTCAGATACATTTTTGTTAAGAAGCTAAAATATTGTCAATTGTACAGTTTAGACTTGTCCGAAGCGTACCAAAACACATCCTTAGTGTCACATTTTCCTTCTTCCTACCATATGTTGATTAGATTATATGAAATTCCTTTCTCCTCTACATTGTTTGAATGGTCCCTAACATTTGATTCTTAGAACGATCATCTTCGAGAGCATCTTCAATGTTAATGTAAAATTGAAATCACATATTAGCATTTTCATTTACATCCAGGTAAATCTAAATTCAAATCCTACTCTAATGGAATTATGGAAAGATGTAAATTATAATATATAAATTTCATTTTTTCACGTTAAATTTTGTTTTTGTACAATTTTTTTGCTCGTATTGGGAGATTATGTAAGACCCCTTTTAAATAGGTTTTAAAAACCATGTTATCAACCTACTTTTTGCAAATTGGATTTAGTCACTTGTCTTTATTTGGTCACTGACCTTATAATTTTATTTTAATTTTTTCGCAACGTTTATTGTTTATAAGCGATAATGCATGGGTAACTAATGGGTAACTTGATGTGAGAAAAACTTTTACAATTAAAGTGCAACTTTAACATGTTACATAAGCAAGATTGCATTTTAATTAAGACAAATGCAACTTAGGACTCAAAATAATTTTAATGAAATTAGATATAAAAAAAAAATGAAAACATCTTGTTAATTTAAGTCCTTGTTTGGGCTTTATTAAAATTAAATTTTGGAAAAAAAAATGTATTTTGGAATAGTGATTTTTTAAAGAATATGTGGTTAAAAAAAAAAGAAAAATATGTGAATTTACATATAATATTTTTTATTGGAGAATGTGATTGAAAATAAAATAGAAATACATTTTGAATATAAAAAAATGATACTTATACACATGATTTATTGTGAGCGGACCCTCCACCCTTATGTCCGTGTAGCATTTTCTTTGATTATAATGGAGCTCACATAGGAGTAATGGTTAAATTATGTTTCTTGTACATTAATTGTTGACATCAAACTTGACATTTTCCTGTGTAGAAAATTCGACCATCGATTGAAAAAATTATTGTTAAAATTAATGTGTAAAAATATGCCAACTCACATGATATCAACCTTGATGTAAGTGTAGCTTACATTGTCAAACAAACCAAATTTAGGACTGGACTCCCTTATATTTCAATTAGGGTCTGTTTGATTGCAAAGATGAAATTTGGGTGGAAAGAAAACGAATTTCAAGGAATTGAATTGTCTAGAAAGTATTTTCCTAGAAATTGTGAAATATTGTGTTTGATTGATATAATTTTTCATGTGAAAAATGTTGATATAAAAGTATTTTTTAGTGTTTGTTTGACTTTGTTTTACATGAAAATTGTCAATTAAAGGGATAAAATTTACTGGTATTAGGGATGAAATTTGTTTTCATTGTCAAAAAAAAAAAAAATTTCAAGAAAATTATCTTCTTTTGGTGTTCGTTTGACTTTATTTTACATAAAAATTGTCAATTAAAGAGAAGAAATTCATTACAATAATTCTTAAAATTTGTTTCAATTGCAAAATAAAAATATAAAATAAATACATCAAAAGGTGCAATTTCAGTTCACATCATTTTGGTGGAATTTGCTTATGTGGCAACAAAAGATGGAAAATGAATTACATGCCAAATTTGTGCCATCAAACATATAAAAGATCAAAATTTCCATGAAGAATATAAGTCTATCAAACATGGCCATAGTGTAATATCTCCAACCTTCAAAAGAGAGGTTTTAGATTTCAACCTATTTAAATTCTTGAATATAAGACGCCAAGTGTTTTAGATTTGAACCTATTTAAATTCTTGAATATAAGACGCCAAGTGTTACAAATTTTTAATGTTGATTTTAAAATCGCACATAATTTGAAGGTTGAGGGCAAAATTTTTAAATAATTTTATATATTTGGGATAATTGCAATAGAAGTCCCAAATCTTTGAAATATTAACAGACTTTTCTCAAACATCTCATTTGTTACAATTATCACCTCTAAATTTTCAAACTTTACATGTAAAGCCTTTTGGATGCTTTCAATAAAAAATTTCATCAGTTGATCATCAAAATAAACTTTGACATCCTTTTAATCAATTTTAAAATGGCAAAATGGTAACTTTCTATTTACCAAATTAAATAATTAAAAAACTTAAATCAAAAACAAAAAGGAACAGACAGAAAAAGAAAAATGGATCTCCCTCCACTCCCTCGATCTAAAATCAACAATAATAAATTTGCCACCTCTCTCACCACCTCAAAATTGAAAAATGACCCAAAACGAATAAATTGCAGAGAAACGAATAAAAGAAAGAAGCCCATAAGTGAAAATCAAATAATTTGTAAGACATTGTAAAATTTTGTTTCAGAACCCAAACTTTGAAAAATATAAGACTTGAAAGAGGGTTAGAAAACCAAAACAAAATCAGTTCCATTTTCTAAGATTTTGACTCATTTTAACAGAGAAAGTATACAAACCACACATCAATACTAGTTAGAAAAAGGAAATCAAAATTGGGATTCGGGACCTAGGATTGGAGAAGGAGAAATGACGAGGGCGAATAACGAGGGAGGACGGATGAGGCAGGCGACGAAGAAGAGCGGAAAGCAAAAGCCCTCGCAGTGGAAATAAGGGATCTGGAAAGGAAACCACAACAAGCCATTTTCCTGCTGTTTTGTGTCGTCACTGTCAACAAGCAAAGCTCTGTAAATTGAGGGGCGGAAGAAGAAGAAGATCCATTTTTCTTTTTTTTGCCTTTTTGGTTTTTTATTTAAGTTTTTTAATTGTTTAATGTGGTAAATAGAAAGTTGTCATTTTACTCTTTTAAAATTAATTAAAATGTGGTTAAAGTTTATTATAATAATCAACTGAAAGAATTTTTGACAAAAATCATCCAAAAAGACTTCACATGCAACATTGAAAAATATTAGGGATGAGGACTGTAATAAATGAAAGATATGGAAAAAGTCGGCTAATTTAAATGAACAAAAACCCTGGAACGTCGAACCAACCCCCGAACTTTCCTTCTTGTTCGAAAAAAATTCAGAATAGTAGATGGGTAAAGCGAAAAGGTACTGGCTACTGAAAACGGAACCAGGAGAGTGGTCATGGGAGGACCAAGAGGCCAATGAAGGTGTATCAAAGTGGGACGGGGTGAAGAACAAGCAAGCCCAGAAGAATATGAAATCCATGCGAATAGGGGACCTCTGTTTTTTTTACCATTCGGGCACGAAAGCACGTCGCGTGGTTGGTGTGGTCTGCGTGGAGCGTCAGTGGTATGAAGACGACAGTGATGGTGGTGGTGCGGTTGATGTGAAGAAGGTAGGGGAGATGGGGAGGCCGGTGGGCTTGGCTGAGATGAAAAGGGAGCTGAAGGGGGTGGAGTTTGGTCTGTTCAGGCAGCCAAGGTTGTCGGTTGTTCCGGTGGAGGAAGATGTTTGGAGAAAAGTATGTGAAATGGGTGGTGGATATGATGGGGACAATGACGGTCAGTCGGTCAGTATGCTTAATGGTGATTAGGGGGGTGCTCTAAAGGTGTGTGATATGTTAATAGTTATAACCACTGACTTTTTGGAAGGGGTGCTTTTAGGCTAGCAGTTTCTTTATTTTGGCTATGGGGGATATGCTTTAAATGTGTTTGATATTTTGTAGCAAAGGGGATATGTTAATAGTTATAATCCCTGCTTTTTGGAAGGGTACTTTTAGGCTAGCAACATCCTTATTTTGGCTATGAATCTTCTATAATGTGTGATATGATGGTTGGAATCAAGGAACTTTAAGCTATTTTTGCATCTTAGAGATGAATGAATGATTGATTTTAAGGATAAAAATCTGCCTATTTATATTACTTAGATTTGAAAACTTATTTTTGCTTTACTTCACTGTGGGTGATGAAACTAAATATAATATGTGTAAAGTGATGAGACTTTGAGAAATTTACTTCTGGTTTATGTTTTGTTTGTTATTTTACATGGAGAGATGTATTGTTTACTATGGATAGTGTTCAAATCAATCCACAGAATAGAATTTATGGGAAGTCCTGATTGCGTTGAAAGGCTATTGTTGGGATTTTTGGACAAATTAGTGTTGAGAGTGATGAAAAAGAAACAAGGTCTGTGCTTATATGTCTTCCACGTTGCCATTTGCATTTAGACTAATCTTGTGTTTGGAAATTCTTCGTGTACTTCATTTCTTTTTCCTCCACCCTGCATCACAACACCATTTTACCCAAATTTTGTTCCTTCCATTTTCCATCTTTACAACTACATCGCCTCTCTCCCAAAATTATTGTGCCACAACTCTACTACGACCTTCTTCTACCCAAACCCTTCTTGCCTCCTCCTAACCCTCTAGTCACAACCACTTCTAGACCCCTATCCCCCTCTCTGCCTTCACCTCTGTTGCAGGTGACTCACCTCTACTCTATTAGAGGGGTTTATGAAGAGTTGGGTATGAGAAGTCAGAGGAGGTTGACTTGTTTTCACTTTCAACGAGGTGATAAGTTGAAAAGGAAGTATATATAAAGACAATTTTTTGGTGGGGGAACTCAGGTTCATTAATGCAACCCCTAGTTCGATGCCCCCTTGTGGCATCATTGCATTTGAATAACAAGCTCAAGTGCAGATGATTCTCAGCTTCATCAGATTACTCTAATCGGTCTTGTGAAGCCTTGCTTGCTATTATGTACATATATGTAATGCGTAAATATGTCTATAAACACTTGACTGGTTTGCAAATAGTGGTTCAAGTATTTGTGTTATAGTGTGCAGGGTGGTGTGGTGTGCATGGAAGGTGTGATGAATTCTGGCATACATTGGAAAGTTCTTAGATTAAGGATCGACAATAGGTACTTCACACTTTCCTATAGTTCTTACTTGGATATTACCGTTTCGTATTTATGCAACCATATAATGTGAAGAAGTTAAAGGTTTTTTACGTTTTAGCTCAACAATGTTGATGATAAAAAGAAGCAAGTTTCTGTATATAGGAGTAAAGCATGGCTTCCACTAGTTAATAATGTTTTCTTCACAAGAGGATCAGTGGTCTGTATGGTGCACTTCCAATGAACGCTTTCTCGAATATGACTGGACTTGCTTTGTGCAGTCGATGTTGCTTAATAGTTGGTAGGTTTTAGTATATTTAGGTATATTAAAGGAGGTTTAATGGAGAGAACAGTGATCCTACTTCTAGAAATAAGTGATAGATTCATTGTTGTTAAGTAGAATGTCTATCTTATTTAGGCTGTCGGGTGAGTTGATGGAAAAAGTTGTTTTGGAGTACTTGTTTCAAAGGTTTTTAGTTAGAGCGAATGTTGAGTTGAAGGGAATTTTACTAACAGAACAATGAAGGAATAAACTACCATAAATAAATATGAGAATCCATATGAATTCTTCATTTTCTGCCTGTAACTTGGCATGAAATAGAAGGGCTTTGTGCCAATTTACAAAATTGCTTATAATGACAGGATTCCGTTTCTTCGATCCAAAGATGTGCAACACTGAATCATTTGTGTTTTTACATCTTTTTACTATGATTCGTGTCTTAATATGCAATTTGCAAGGTTAGAGCTAATTAATAGAAAGGGATTTAAGAATCTAAAGAGTTTCAGTTCATCTCTTAAGACATCATTTTTCCTTCCCCAGCAAGCTTGCATAATATATTTAAAATGATTGTTTTAAGGAACTCTAAAGTTGATATATTGATGACCAAAACTGTTATCAAGAAGTGATAACATGAACACTAGCTCTGGAGATTCACACACTGTTCCCGGTAAAACTTGAAAAGAATAACAAGCAACTGGAAAACCATCCGAGAATCCATTTTCGATTGGTCCAACGACAAATAAATTTCAGAATGAAGTCCATTCTACTTAGATAGCAGATATTGTAGCTTTAGGGCTTGAAAAAGCTGCAATCTAGATCTATAAGAGCAATGCTACTTATGTAATAAGCATCCTTGTATTTTTTGGCTATAAATATTTGTTGTAAACTTTTATTTGCCTAATGTTCGTTATATACTTCCCTTCTTGTTAATTTAATGGAACTAGAATTGAAGAAATCTTTGGCACTAACTGAGAACCTTGAGTTTACTTGCAAATAATTTATTTTTATTTACTGTTTTCTTAACCATTATTTTCAGTGTCTAGATTAGGTGCATTCCATGGTATTTACGAGAAAAAATGAATTTGCATTGGTGCTTCTCTGTTCTAGCCAATGTGGCATGGCAATTGATTGATTTTTGTTTTTGATGAAAAACTTTTGTTATGTAACTGAGATGTAATCTCAAAGAATCATTTCTCTCCTATTTCAAAATGTGTAATTGTGTGTATTTAGATTGCAATGCACCAAGTTGTTAAACTTCAAGTATGTTGTTGCTCTGTCAAAATAGCTTAAACTTTTAAATAACTTGATTATTCAATGTGATACTGAAGAAGGCAAAGATGTTGAGTTCAAGTCTCGGTACTACATATTTAAGAACATTCTATGTCTCGGGCCCCTGAAAAAACAAATGCACCTGTAAGAAGGCAAAGGTCTTGAGTTCAAATGTGCTCCTTGCTTTCATGCTGGTGAATTGTATTGTGTTGAATTGAGGCCTTCCCATGCTTACGATGTCCAAGGATACGAAATAGAATTCAACTCAATTTGTCAATCTATAGTGGACGTGTTGCCCCTCAATTCTTTAATCTTCACTGGTCTTATGCAACTGTTTGTTTCTCATTCTTTTCTCATTAAAATAAAAAATATGATAATTATTTATCACATCAAGTCACCAAATTTGAATTTCTATCTCGTGTGGGGTTCATAGTGACTATATTTTTCATTTTCATTCTTACAAAAATAGGAAACAAACGGGTCCTATATTTTGAAAGAAACTAGCAGCTAGTGTTTTTAGACATGTTCATATTTCACTAGTTTAAAGTGAACTTGTAATCGCTTTGTTGTATGCTGATAAGTGTATTTTATACACTTATTTGAACTTAAAAATATAAACATTTAATAGTTCTTTTAAGCAATTGTAGTCTAATTTATTGTACACTTCATTTATTAGGTAAAAATTGATAATTGGAAGTGAAATTGAAAGAAAAATGTGAAAAATGGCAAAGTCCAAAGCTTTGAGGATCAAATTACAAATTTTCAATAGTTTGAAGATTGTTATGAGACAATTTGATGCAATTAGAAGTAATAAAGGAAATGAATGTGATCAAAATATTATTACAAATCAATTTTTAATCGCACAAGTTATATTCCAAATTTTTAGACCAAGACTTGATTCCATTTTTAATATATTAAACGTTTGACTTGGAAAATTTCTATTTTTATCAAAGTTGAAGCCCTTTGAATGAGTTTTTTAATGCACTTTGAATTGTTTCAATCGAATAATGAAAGAGAAAATTATGAACATTCTGAAAATTGTACAGAGTAAAAAACATGGGGTTCTCGAAGGCAACTTTCCGGATTCTATCGAAATTTTTTTGGAAACCATTTGGACATGATTTTCAACTAATTTTTCACTCCTACAAATACCTAACGGCATAATGCATTAGAGACGCCTCTCATATACATATTATGCCCTTGTTTGAGCCACATTATTGGAATGAAAATGTATTTTTGAATAATATGTTGATAGGAAATGTGTGGTTAAGAAATAAGGAAATGTTTTGAATTTACATGTAATATTATTTTATTAAAAAATACGTAGTTGAAATAATGTCAAATTACTATTGAAGAATGTATTTTTTTTTTTCAAATAATATGGCTCAAACAAGGCCTATATACCATTATTCATCAATTAAAATTATCAAAAAGAGGTCAATCTATTATTCTTGTGAGAATTAAAGGGAAATTACAAGTTTTCAAGAAATTGGAGTTTCAACCTTGATTTTTGGAGAGACAACAAAAAAGATATATTGGGGATTCATTAATAAATTATTGAAGAGATTCAAGATTTCAAGATCCATCTTCTCCTTCATTTATCTAAAATTCGGGTTATGTTATTCCAATTAAACATGTTTTCATGTAATTTTGTAATGCTAGATTGTGGTTTTAATTATTAAGACATTGATGAGATGTTTTAATATAAATTCGATAATTTGTTGTTCAATATGTGTTTATTCTTGAATGATTGTTATAGGATTTAATGACATTTCAATTATTTGATTACTAACTTAATTGATTGTGAATTTTATTGATTTCGAAAGAAACAATATGATAGATAGCACAATATAATAACTAATGTAAAGTTTGATTTGAAATAGAGATGTGCCGCTATACTTTGCATGATTTCTATAGACGTTCCAATGTTTTTAATGCATGCTTTTCATGTTTATATCTTTTATAAAGTTATAAGAATGTTACATGAGATGATAGATTTAATTGACATCAAGAGATGCTTTTAATTAATTTAGGAACATTGATCAACAAGTATTTGCATATATTGTCATGTTATTAATTTGTATTAAAACGGATAATATAAGGGGGATTCTAGGTCTTGATAAAATTCGATGGAAATTTACAAAAACTTTCATAACTTGTTCATTTTAATTATTGGTTTAATTAGATAAATTAATATAAATTATTCAAACAACTTTGACTATTCAATTAGAGTTAGAATTAATTGATCATTGATTAAGTACATAGTCATCGTAGGAACGATACTTTATTTATTACTTTATTACTTATTCGCGATACCGTTCACTTGCGAAAGATCAAACGGATCAAGTTTTGACACCATTTTCAGGGACTATTGTATTTAATTAATTTTTTTTAATTATAATTTATTGATCACCTTTAAATATTAATCCAAGATTAGATAATCAACTATA